GTTTTTTTTCGTCTATCGCTATAGAAGAATAAGCTTCATGCAAACATCAAAAGTCATTTACAAATTTCAATTGTTTTAAAAAAAATCAACCAAGCTTTTTTTTTTCTCAATCGACGTATTTTATTTGTTTTTCCCGAAAGGAAATTCCATTATTTAATTAATTGGAAATTACTATTCATTGATTATTATTAACATTAGATTCTAGTAATTAATAGAAAGAATCAACGAGTGGCTAACTTAATCTCCACTATAAATTTATTAATTATAGTTATCTCTTTTTATTTCTAAATTATAATAAAATTTTTTGATTCTTGTTAATTGGTGATATTGCAAGGTAGCCTTTGATTATGGCTTAACTTTTGGGCTACTCTTGTCAGTTAATTACAAGAAACACACAATAACTCGGTGCTCGTAGTTTACGAATTTACATTAGTTCTCGCTTATTTCCTCTTTCTTATATGCGAATCTGTAAGCGTGCTTAATGGTACCAAATAACTGTAAATAAATAAAGGCAGCTCTTTACATAGCTCAAAAGTTTCTTTTATTCGCTTGTGACCAATTTATTTCGGTGGCTTTTTACCAAGGAATTACACTTGTAAATTGCTTTAAATAAAGAAAATAAAAACAACCATTTTGTTTATTAGAGTTTTATTTTATTAGAGCATTTATTTTCCTCAAAGTTGTTATAAACTGTTGAATTTATACAATGTTTATTGTCTCAACATCATAAAAACATTCCCTTTGATCTCTCGCTTCCCAAAAATCAAAAATTTGACCTAGTATTATTAATATTAAACATTAAGTATTTCTATACAACACTTTGTTTTTGTAAAACAGTAAAAACAAAGAAACCGACGTAAAATCACGAGGCATATCCAACATCTTTGTTAAATTAATTAATATTTCACGGGAATGGCTTATTTTGTATATATAGTATGGTGCTAGCATGGTATATATTAGTATTTTATGCCATCGAAAAAATTTCAATTATAATAACTGTTACTAATATTTCTTCTTTTATTACACATTCATAAAAAGAAAAAATCAAAATGCGTTCAAATTATCTTTAGTGCCTGAGTTTGAAACACACATAGGCAGGGTCAATAGAATGAGTGTATTGATATTTTTTTTGATTATTACTAATTGAGCATGATATCATGAATAAAATAAAAATGTATTTTAGTGCCCGAGTTTGAAATACACGTATGCATGCCAATATTGATGTGTGGAGTTGTGTCTATGGGTGGATTCGGTTTTTTGGACCTTTTCTCAAACCCCTATCTTATAATGATAATTAACTCTAAAAAAATATATTTGCTCTGTTAAAAACTATTTTAAACTATTTTACTATTCAGCCCATCAAACCAATGGCCCATCCCAAACCCGATGGCTTTAGGTATCCGATAGTAAATAAACACTCGGTTACTATATTAATATAAAATATAACTAACGTAAAATAAACATAATTTTATCAAGTCAAAGCTTTTACCACCTTCTGTGCACCATTTGTTACAAAAAGCGATACAAAACATTTAGAGGTCTTATTCGTCATGAAAATTCAGCTCATGCATCTTACCATCAACTTCCTGAACAGTTTAAAATTTTCTAGTGAATGAAATACATAAATGAATTCCAAATCAGGCGAACTTGTAGAAAATAATTAAACCGATTTTTACCAACTATCAATGTATTTTCAGGTTGAAAAACTTGTCAGGCGATATTAGTAGTGCAATATAGGTTATATTAGTACTAACGAGAAATTTCTTCATAGACAGTAAAATAAAGCTTTATACGAATTAGCTTGGTTTACATTGTGAAAAGAGGGCTTAGTATGTTCGATAACTATTACAAACCTTAAATAATGTATAATATTGACAAAGTTTTCAACTTAACAACTAGCTCGTATGAAACTTTAATGGGTATAGATTTGTCGACAATCTAATATTTTATATTTTTATTCTAAGCCACCACATTGAGTACTGACATTTTGATTTATTAATAAATTTGATATTTCCGGATATGGTACTCTTGGAAAGAACTCAAATCACCGACAGATGCTAATTAGTTTCATGAAAAATTTAAAGATGGTCTAAAAGGGTAACATAGAAACAAGTGATGTATAAACTCCTATTTATGTAATGTATATGCATGCATTGACCATTATACATGTATAGTAATTCCATTGAAAGTTTTTTAAGAGCAAAGGTTAACAAAATTGAAGTGACAGCGAAAGTGATAATAATAGCGAAATTTCAGAGGATAAAGATCCATTTGCATTTTTTAGTTCTAAATTAAGAGTTTCAAAAATGATTCACATCATTGTTCTGGTTGAATATCCTGCTATTTCTTTGTAACGATTTATGATAGCTGGTTGGAAAAACTACAAAGAGACATTTTTAGATGCAGGTATTTTTTTATTAGCATTCACTGCTACACTGTTAAGAATGTTGTAAATAATTTTAAAATTGAGCCGATTTTTTACCTGAAGATGCATAAAATTTGATCGCAATACACTTTTTTTTTAAAATAATATTCCAATTTAGCCATTGACAATGTTGAAACTTAACATTATGGAGGAGATACAATTTAGTGAAAGAATCGCATCATCAAGTGTCATCTGCTGTAACTGATCATCCAGATAACCAACATCTAAATCTCAATGTCTGGCTTATGCCCCACATTATGTATATTATATGTAAAATAATTTCTCATTTATAAAAAAAAAAACTATAAAAATTCAAAGGAATGATAAAAAAACTAAAGGAAGAGATATCAGAATTAAAGTCGAATATCGAAATATATAAATATTATCAGAATAAGTTTTAATGAGAAATTAAAAAAGCATATTAAATCCAAATTTAAACAAAGGTTTAGGATTAAATTAATAATAATATATAGATCAATAAAAGATAGTCATCAATTTACTTTAAAGCTTTCTGATATGAGAAGATGCTATTGTGATTAAAATCCAATAAAATTTAATTAAATCAGTGAATGAGTGATGAATGAATGAATATTGATTGCTGTATTATTTGCCATCGAAATTTGTGCGAGTACATCATTAAAAATGAATAAGTTTATCTTAATCGTGATCATCTTCTTCGACTCCAGGACACTCTTTACTTAATTCCTCAGCATTATCATAATTGCATCCACACCAAAAACAATAATAATATTCTTCACGTAAATATTTCAATATTATATCAAGCTTTTCAGAGGGCTAATAATATCAGTTACCAAAATTGATTATAAATTTATGTATATTTTCTTTAAAAAAAAACCAATAATTTTCATTAAAAAAGTGATTTACTTCTAGCTTAGCAAATTTATCATCATCATCATCATCTTTGTAATCATCTTTAGCCGATGGTATTGTCTTAATCATCGTCACCAATAAATCATCAGGATTAACATCATCATGATCTTGTTTTAATTTTTCTTCATCGTCAGATTCGTTACAATGCCATAAAATATTATCCTTGGAAAATGATCATCATCAATAAATTAAATTGATAATAATTATTTTTGCAAATTAAAAAATCAATGATAATAATGATGATACCTCAATTCCCTAATAAATGTATTTGATCAAAATAAAATTCATAAAATTCATTAATATAATTTCACTATTAATAAAATTAATCAGTAATTGTTTTTGTTTGAGAACCTTTCTTGTATCCAAAGTTTCACATATTTTTTGTAAAGCTTTTAATTGTGCTCGTATACGTTTATCAAGATGTTCTTGTCTAATTCGTTCACGAAACGTGTCTTCATCCACTTTGATTTTCTTTGATTTTCTTTCATATTCCACCTTGGCCTTTTGTTTAAGCTCTGTAGACATTCCTAAACCAAGTCTATCTTTATATACAAGTTGCAAAAGAATTTTTTTTTAATAATCTCTTATAAAATACACACACAATCACACGGCTTATCATCAAAGACATGACCTTGTTTTAATTCAATGCCCAAAGGTTCCGTTATGCCCTCATTTTTAGAACTTTCACCCAATGCCATCCCCTTTTTATATCCCCATTTTTTTAATATTTTCAACCCAGGCGATTCAATGTTATCCTCCTCGTCGATCCTTTTGGAAAGTCCTTTTTCACGACTTTCTTTTTCAAGCTCTTGTCTAGGCTTAATATATCCATGATTAGATAAAAGTTTTTCACGGCGACGTTCCGAGTATGTTTTTGTTGCTTTTTTGTTTTTGTTTGATGTTGATTGCTCTAAATATTTTGATGACATGTAATCTTCTGTTTCTGAATCAGTCATTTTATTAGAATAGAATTTAATTTTTGTGATTCAAAGATTTAGCAAGTGTAACATTCAATGATTCATGGGGTGAATTATTATAATTGATTAGGACAATTGATTCTCAAGTTAAATATGCAAGACAATTTATGGAGGGTGCATAAGAAAATTATTTTTCTTAATCCCGGTCATTATGTCAAAATCACATAATTTTATGCCTTTAAAAAATCATTTGTTAATAATGGACCTGGGAAGGTCTATAACATCCCTTCCCTATTAGTTAAATCAGCAAATTAAATATAATTGAATGATGATGGTGGTGATAAATCGTATATTATTGTGATTATGATAATAATAATAGCATAAATCAATACTTTAGAGAATGCGTTTTTAAACTATCAATGGCATAGAATGTACTTCAGTAATAGTAATAATAATAATAATAATATACAAAGGCGTCGCCACCATCATTATCGCCACCATTAACGCGTACACATATTTTATCAATAACGATATTAGTGAGCGTTGTATTTACAATAATCTTGATTATAATTATTTTACTTTATATACAAGATTCAAAAGAAATAAAATTAGCAAAGAAATGCGCAAACACAAGAAAAATAACAAAACATCTTTAGATAGTTTTGTGATAAAACCCCTCTCAGCAATCAAAAGAAGTTTCAGATCAAAGTTTGAATTTAATCCCACAGAATTCTTAACCGGTGATCGTAATGATAGTAACAGAGAATATTTAAATTCTGATAATATTTCAATCCTTTTATCTCCACCATCTCTAATATTACATGATTCATATTTATTTAATAAGAATGATAACCCTAGTTGTTTAGAAGATTCATTTACGATTAACGAAGAAGTCAGTTTAGAAGAAGGAAGAGAAAAAAGAAATGATAAAAGTAGGTAGGATAAGAAGAATTGGGACGTAGAAAGCTTACAAGGGTAAAAGACCAAAGTGTTCACATATAAAATTTGTCATTATAATATTTTTTACGCTCGTAAAAAATTTTATTGAAAATTCACTCTACCAAATAATCATTATTATATTATTACAATTTGTTGAGAACGAATTATCGTTTCAATATAAGAAAAACAATAATAATGATAATGATAATAAAGACTAAATATACGACGAAAAAAATTTTTTTTGGGGTTTTCTCTTTTTTTTTTTTTTTATTTAATTTCCAGTAGTAATCTCTCAAATTTACTATTGAACCATTCATCCATTACCACAAATCTAACAATCAATCCTTTGATATAATTTGAACTACCAGCTACAACAAATCCACTAATTAACATAATATTAATTATATCTATCTACATTATTTTCTTTATATCACGATTGATATTTCCCCTCCTGGGAGAAATTAATGATGTGATGATGTGATGATGTAATTGTAAATGGTGATGATAAATGAATAAATATAATATTGTGTGTTGATATGATATGTTTTTGTGTTTTTAAATGAGTTATGTTATATATAAAAAATCTAAAGATATGTATGATAATAAATAAAATAAAATATACAAAAAAAAAATATATAATAATAATAATAAAATAAATGAATATAGTGATAATAATAATAATATAATCTATTTTCTAAAAAAAAAAAATTTCAAGATTTGAGAGGGGTTGGTTCTCTCTCTAATATATATATATAAATTTTTTTATTTCTTCAACAACTTTTTTAATTATTTAATTAAATGATCCAAAGGAGCATTTAAAACAGCTTCTACAATAGCATTTCTACGTCTTAGAACAAAATCTGGAACTTCAATGTCCAACTGAAAAGTTGGAGGCAAACCGAAATTTTCTAAAAACGATGGTGATGATGGTGGTGAATATGAGTATGATAAAGAGGATTCTTTAGTTGTTGTTGTTGATGTTAACGACAATTCTTCGAATTGTTGATGTAAAGAAGTTGTAGAAGAATTATTTGAATTCAACATTTTTAATATATTAAGTAGATAAAGGAATGTAAATATAAATGCGAAAGAAAGCTATTAGGTTAAAGCTGTTGTTGCAAGTAAATAATGTACGAATTTAAAAAAGTAGAAATAAGAAATTTGGTATTTAATTTTTTTGTTGTTTATTGTTATTATTATTATTATTATAATTTTATTATTATTAATATTGATAAAAAGAGGGAAAACTTGCAAAGTTTTGTTTTCCTTGATTGTATAAAATAACAGTTAGAAAAAATTGAAAAGGAAGAAAGTGTTGTTTATTTAATTTTTAATTAATTAATTATATTTTGAACAATTGGAACGAATAATAATAAACACAATCAATCACACGCATCCCACAAATAACCATCCCAAACTATGTAACACGATGCAAATCCAGGGAATTTGTGTCTTTGTTCGCTACAAAGTGAAATTATTATTATATGAAAAAGCAAAGTTCGTTATAGTGCGATTTACAAATATTTTATTTTCTAATTATAAATATATGTAGGACTGAAAACTCAAATCAAGGATTAATTGGTTGATACGATATTGAAATCTATCTATTGTTAATAAATAGAATTTCTATTGAAAATTATTGTTATATATTCAATATATCAATGAATGTTTTTTTCAACTCTTTGGTTTAGATGAAGAGGAAGAAGACGACGGAGAGGAAGCAAAAAGCAATCTTTTTTCATAGAAACTAATAATCTAATGATATATTAAATAATAAATCATAAAAAGTATATATGTTAAAACTCTATATTTTTTAAAAAAAGTAATAAAAATAATACCTTTTGAGGACATTTAGCATTAACTTCTTTAGCTGGATGCCTTGAAACTTTGCCATTTTTCCTTATTTTTTTTTATTTTTTTAAAAAGATCAATATAAATCTCAAAATATAGTAGTAGATTCACGATGCCAAATAAAAAAAATGCTAATACCATTTGAGATAAGCAAACAATTCTTTGGTTTTGTCGTCACGAACAATTGATTCAATTGATTCAACCTTATTTTCCCAGTTATCATCTATAATAAGGATCTCATACTCATTATCCAATGTGACCTTTATTGTTTTTGGTTTCTTTGGAAATTTTCGATGTCTGGGTTCTTGTTTGGCAGCGTTTCTTTTTGTTGATATAACTGTTCCAGCATTTGCTCTGGTATTTATTTTGGTAGAACTAGTTGAACTAAAATCGTAATCAATATCATCAACATCATCAATATCATTAACGTCATCATAATGTCCAGAACTCTTGCTGTTGTTATTATTATCACTGCTACTACTATTGTTATTATTATTATTTGGTTTTTGAACCTTTTCCCAATACTGTTTTATAAGTTCTTCAGCAAATCTTTATATTAAAAAAAAAAATTTTTTTAATTTTTCATTTTTTTTTTTTTTTTTTTTTTTTAAAAAAATCTTAAATTTCAAATGTTTACAAATCTTCTTCATAAATCCAGGATAATTCATCTTCCGAATAACCTAACATTATAGATTGATAAGTTAGTCACATATGCATTATATATATATAAAGATCTTTCATATATATTAATTACTTGATTAAATAAATACCTTTCCATTTAACTAAATAAAATAATTTGGACTAAATTTTTATATTTATTTATATAATAAAAACAAATAAATAATAAATAAATAAATATTTAAACTACACGCACGCGCGTGCGCACACACACACACACACACACACACACACACACACACACACACAAGTATACATACACCGTTAGTTTTATGATCTAGAATAGATTCGACTTCGTATTCGCCCTCTTCTTCATTTATATTTTTTTTATCCCCCTTTAAGATATCTTCAAGATTTCTGTATTCCTTTTTTAAAAAGAAACACCCAAATATTACACCGTAAATTCGATTAAACTAAAAATTCAATACGCAAATAAAAAAAACTTACTTCAGTTTTAGTCTCTAGTTTATTTGAGAACTTTATTACACTATTACTTGTATATATTTTAATCATTTTTATTTATAGACGATGAAAAAAAAATTTTTTGAATTCAAAAAAATGCTTCTATGCTTCCGTTACACACAACAAAACATCACAAATGTTGACTCATCATCCATCATCATCAAAAAAACTTTTTAAAATTATATTTTCCAAAAATGTCAAATCTACAACAATTTCAATGCCGTATGTACGAAGCAAAATACCCCGAGGTCGAAGATTTAGTAATGGTTAATGTTCGACAAATAGCCGAAATGGGTGCTTATGTTAAACTGGTTATTATACAACTTACAAATTACTTATTGGCAACTTTTTTAAAAAAACTCATTCACTAAACTATGAAATTCTACGTATGTAGCTAGAATATGATAATATTGAAGGTATGATCCTATTATCAGAGTTATCAAGAAGACGTATTAGAAGTATTCAGAAATTAATTAGAGTTGGAAGAAACGAAGTTGTAGTAGTACTAAGAGTTGATAAAGAAAAGGGTTGGTTATCTAATGTTAAAATGTATTAATTAATACAGTCAATAATAATCTTTCGAAGATTAAAGAAGAAGAAATAATTTGAATTTTATATTGATCAATTATTTTATTTATTGTGTTATTTTTATTTTAGGGTATATTGATTTATCAAAACGTAGAGTTTCACCTGAAGATGTTGCAAAAGCAGAAGAAAAATTTAATAAATCAAAATCTGTAAATATTTATTATATGATTGATCACATTATATTATAAATAAATGCGAATAAATATTAACTATATTTAATAGGTTCATAGTATAATGAGACATGTCGCAGAAAAACAAGATCTAGTTCTCGAAGATCTTTATAAGCAGATAGGATGGCCACTGTATAAAAAATACGGACATGCTTATGAAGCATTTAAATTAGCTATCACGTAAATAATTAATATATTTATATTTACAAATAAAATAATATGTATGAATGGAATGAGTAAATTAAATTACTAAATACTTCATAATATTCTTATTATTAGTGAACCAGAAAAGGTATTTGAAGGAATCGAAACATCTAAAGAGGTTATGGATGAATTATTAAACAATATTAAACGACGTTTAACGCCTCAACCAATTAAAATTCGATCTGGTATGTGTCGTGCATGAGATCTGATCTTTCTTTCTTTGATTAATTCTAACATTTTTCACCGTCCTTCCAAAATTAATCAGATATTGAAGTTACATGTTTTGGGTATGAAGGAATTGATGCAATTAAAGCCGCATTCAAAGCTGGTGAATCATGTCAAACAGATGATATTCAAATAAAGGTCATTTTCGTTGTCGTCACTTGTATTATCCTATTTATGCATTAATTAATATCTCCAACAATAATTATTTTTTTAGGTAAAATTAGTTGCCCCTCCATTATATGTTATGATTACCAACGCTTTGGATAAAATTTTAGGAATCGAAACATTAGAAAAAGCAATTGAATCAATTAAAGCTACAATTGAAAAATCAAATGGTACCTTGACAGTCAAAATGAAAGTAAGTTAAAAAATTTTATTAACCATCGTATCATTGATATTACTGTGGTTTATGTGATTTTATATAATCCTTTATTTTTAAATTTTAGCCAAAAGCAGTAAGTGAAACCGATGAACGTGAACTTGCCGCTCTTATGGATCGTGTGGCAAGAGAGAATGCCGAAGTTTCAGGTGATGATGATATTGATTCTGAAGCCGATGAGGTGGAATAAATTAATTATAAAACAAAACCGATGGGATGTAATTATTTGGTGATGGATAGGAGTTAATGCGAGATTTATGGGGAAGAAAAAGATTTTGTTATAAAATAAATTAAAATAAAATAAATCTATTAATAATTGTTTATGGTCAAATAATACTATTTATATATTTTTTCTAGTAATTTATAGATTATTTTATTTATATATATATTGATATTTATATTTTTCTTTTCTAATTGAATAAAAAAAATTATTATAATAATAATATATCAATTTCGTCCAATCGCATTTATCAAATTCATCCAATCAAAACTCATCTAATCAATCAATAATACAAAAATTAAATATAAATATATAAAATATTATCCAAAAACCTTACAGGTACAACATTACTTATGTGTTGATGACCTTCATCCATCCCATCGTGTACCTTTATTCTAACTATATATCTACCTACCTAATACCTACTTTTTAAGCTTTCTAACGATAACTACTGCATCACAGTTTTGGCATTTATTAATACTTTTTGGTCGCGCATACCTTTTTTTTTTTAATTTTTTCCTAAAAAAAAATCTAAAAAATTTTTTTTTTCCTATTTACTTTATTTGAAAATAAAAATAAAAAAAGAAAAATTTTTTTTCCTTTCACATCCCTTCTTCTTTTTCTTCATACTATTACTATTTCTTCTTTCTTTCCTTCTTTCGTTTATTATTTAATTTAATTTTTTGATTTTTTTTTTTTTTAAAAAAAAATATAAATATATAAGGGGGTTTTTACTACTATATATAACTACATATATATACGACATAATACGAGATATGGCTGAATCAGAAAATGGTTGGAAATTTGCTCAATGTTTCGGTGATAAAGGCGAGGTCGAGGACATTACAGAAGGTAATTGTCCTTTTTGACCTCGATGAAATTTAAATCACACACTTGATCTAAACGATGTCAGTGTTATTGTCGTCGTTTTGTCGTGATGAACGTTTTGTTCCTTCTTTTTTTTTGTTCTATACATCAACAATACACATCTTATTTTAACATTTAGCAAAAAAAAAACTTTTCATTGTGTAAGGTTAATTAACATAGATGGATATATATATATTATATATATCTATACATACATACATATATACATACAATATATATAATATATACATATATACACAATATATATAATATATATCCAAGATTAATGTTTTTGTTTAATGTTTCAATTGATTTACTATTATTATTATTATTATTATTATTATTATTATTATTATTATTATTATTATTGAGGAGGGGAGAAAATGTATATATGTGTGCGTGTGAGAAATTTGAGGTTTGATTGTTAATTTGTTGAATAGATGGAAATTTAATTGAGAAAGAAACAATTAGAAAATTATTGATTAAATGAACCAACAATCATTTAGATCCAAGAAAAAATTTTTACTTCAACTATATCAATCAATCATTTTTTTGGGAATTAGAAACTTCAACAATGATAACTAATAATAATAATAATAATAGCACTTTTAAGTACATTTTTGTGTTGGTTTATATTATATACCAAAGAGTAGTAGTGTAGTAGTGTTGGTTGTTGTTACGATCCAGATCGTGAATCATTTTTTATGTCACCTTTTCTTTTGCAATAGAGATTTAATAGGTCTGAAAACTATATTTAATATATGTAGCTGATATTATTTCGACCGTCGAATTTGACCACACCGGTGACTATCTTGCGACTGGCGATAAAGGAGGGCGTGTGGTCTTATTTGAACGTAATGAAGGGGTAAGCATCATAGATTAATTTGTTAGTTTGTTTGCTTATTCATCGATCTAATTAATCATTTATTTGATGAATAGAAAAAAGGTTGCGAATATAAATTCTATACAGAATTTCAATCACATGAACCTGAATTCGACTATCTTAAAAGTTTAGAGATTGAAGAAAAGATTAACAAGATTAAATGGTGTAAGCGACAGAATTCTGCACATTTTCTATTATCTACTAATGGTAATTATTGTTATTGTTATTGTTATTATTATTATTACTATTATTATTATTATTATTATTATTATTATTGATGATTTTAAATATATGTATTTATTAATCATTATATATTCATAATCATGTACGTATACATACTTGTATATAACATAGACAAAACCATCAAGTTATGGAAAGTTTTTGAAAAATCGTTGAAAGTAGTGGCAGAGAATAATTTAAGTGATGGATTGAAGCCTCAGAATGGAAAAATTCAAAATCTTCGATTGCCAAAACTTGCACAACATGACACGATCATTGCAGCTGTTCCTCGTAAAGTATATGCAAATGCTCACGCATATCATATCAACTCTATATCCATCAATTCTGATGGTGAGACATATATATCTGCTGATGATTTGAGAATTAACTTATGGAACTTGAATATCAGTGATCAAAGCTTTAGTATCCTTTTTACTCTAATATAAAACACACATATGTTTGTTATTTATTTCCTATATTTTTTTTGTCCTTTACTCCGGATATTATTATTATTTGTTGTTGTTTTTTAGATATTGTTGATATCAAACCAGCAAATATGGAAGAACTTGTTGAAGTTATTACAGCAGCAGAATTTCATCCAATTCATTGTAATTTGTTTATGTACAGTAGCAGTAAAGGAACCATAAAATTAAGCGACATGAGGATATCAGCTTTGTGTGATCAACATGCAAAAAGTGAGAACAATAGTGATAATATTATATATATTAAATTATTAGTTATTAAATCGTTATTATTGTTGTTGTTGTTGTTGTTGTTGTTGTTGTTGTTGTTACTATCAATAATTATTATTTATTAATTTTTTTTTGAATACATCAGTGTTTGAAGAACAAGAAGATCCAGCCAACAAATCATTTTTCTCAGAAATTATTTCATCTATTTCTGATGTAAAGTTTAGCAAAGATGGAAAATATATTTTATCCCGTGATTATTTGACATTGAAAATTTGGGATATAAATATGGAGAACAAACCACTGAAAACAATCAATATTCATGATCATTTAAGAACAAAATTGTGTGATTTATATGAGAATGATTGTATTTTTGATAAATTTGAATGCACATTCAGTGGTGATGGACAGTAAGTTGCATAATTAATTATTTATGAAAAATATAAAACACATTAATTAATAATATTAAATATCAAAACATGAATATATGATATTTTGTAGAAATGTTTTGACAGGATCATATGACAATTATTTTCATATTTATGATCAAGAAGGTTTAACTGACATTTCTTTACAAGCTGATAAAAGTGCATTCAAAGCTAAACGTGTTGGGTCAAAGAGTAAGCCACTTCGTGGAAGAGTTAAAAAAGATGAGATTAATGTAGATAATATTGATTTTAATAAAAAAATTCTTCATGCTTCGTGGCATCCAAATGAAAATTCTATTGCTGTGGCTGCAACAAATAACCTCTTTATTTTCACGTAAGTTATTTATTTATAAATGAATATAAATATACATTTTGTTTATATAAAATATTAATTCTTTATTAATTATATTATTTGTTGATTTGTACTAAATGTAGCGAGTAAGTCTTTCCTTTATCTATAATTTATAAATCTGTTTATTTATGTCTGTATGTTATTAATGATATTCTTTATATTTATTTATAGGCTATGATAGATTATTTAATTTTATTTTATTAATTAAAAAAAAAATAATATAAATATTTCAAAATTAAAAAAATCATTTGTAAATTCATAATCACAAGATCTTCACATAATGGGTCAATTATAACTATTTTAATTATTAATATTATATATTATTAATATAATATTTCATATTCTTATTATTTTTATTTTTATTATTATTAGAATTGCAAAAAGTGTGATTTCTATTTCTATTACTATTCTTACTACTATTATTATTATTTATATATATTTTTTTTACTATTAATTTTTTAGTTTTGTTCACACTTTTCATAAAAATATTTTCATTCATCATATATATATATATATATAAATAGTATTATCATTAATATCTATATATTTATTATTATTATTATTATTATTATTAATGTAGGCTAATAATTGTCTCATTTTTTTGCATTTCTCATCTTCATCTCATCAATTCATCATCTTTTTCTTTCATTATTCATTCACCACCAACCCCAAACACTATATCATCTTTTTATAATTATCATCCTATCCCCTTTTTATATATTTCCATCCCCAAAAAAAATAAAAAATTCTTTTGATCCAAGTTTTTTTTATTTTTATTTGCCTACATTTATTAATATAATTAATATATTTATTTTTTTCAAAAAAATTGGTTTTTATTTTTTACTTTTTTTTTTCTTTTCAAATTCCTTTTATATGTTGATATTTTCTTAATATTATTTTTTTTTTTTTGTAAGTAGATTTTATTTATTTTATTCTATTTTAATACTTTTTTCTTGTAATCAAAGACACATACTTTGTAGTATCCTAAAAAAAATTTATTTTAAAAAATTCGCACATAACTACTATCTTTCTAATATTGCACTCGAAATTTGTCACAACAGCTGTAAATTTTTAATTCGTGTTTCACCACCGATCATGTGTATATGTAGAAATCTATTATCATAGTAAAAATTGACAAAAATCTGCTCAACTAACACACATTAACACTGCATCCAAGTTCACCAAAACAAAACTTTTTTTTTCAAGACTTTTTTTTTATTCGGTAGAATAAGATTTCAAAAATATAAAAAAATTTATATTATAAATCTTTGTTTTTTCTAACTTCTATATTGGGTATCGCCAGATTCCAAGGATTTTACATATAAAAATTGAGAGAAATTAATTTTTGTTATATTATGTTAACCAATTTAAAGGTTAATCATAGTTGAGGCTTCATGCCGAGTGGTTAAGTATCCCCGAACCTGCCTAATTAACATTTAATTTAAGTATTGTAATATTTGTTAGAATATGGGTTTTTATTGCGAAAAAACCTTTTAAACAATAAATTTTCTGCCTAAAGCCCAGTTTTTTTTATATTTAATATAAATATGTTTGCCATTATCTTTTTATTCTTTTTAATATTATCAAAATCCTTTTTTTTTAATTAAAGCTCTTATTATTTGTGATAAATAATATCCATAATTCACGTGAAATTCAAATTAGCCAATCAAAATTTCATATCCAAACACCCCGCCAAAATTTTATAAATTTTCGATTTCACAACAGAAATAAAAATTGTTTTATATGTTGATATGCAGATCATTAATAGATTTCTACACATGATTGGCGAAACACGAATTAAGTTTTATTCTGTAACTGATCTTTGTCCAACAGACAATTTAAAAAAATGTCTTTGAAAATATTGATATTAGGAGCGGGTTATGGAACTCGTCTTCAACGTGATATTATTGAATTATTAAACCAACAACAAAACAATGACAATGACAACGACAACAATAGTAATGATAATGATATTAATATTAATAAAAATTATCAAAAACTTTTAGGAGTACCTAAAGCATTGTTACCACTTGGTGGTAAAGATGCATTAATAAGTCATTGGCTAGATATATTTAAGAAATCCAATATTGATATTAGTAAAAATGTTTATTTAGTAACAAATGATAAGTCACACCAAGATTTTATAGATTGGGCCAACAGAAACAAAATACCATCACTAAATATTGTTAATGATGGCACAACAGATAATGATAATAGATTGGGTGCAGTTGGTGATATTGAATTATCAATAAAACATTTTAAATTAGATGATTCCAACTTGTTGATAGTTGGTGGTGATACATTATTTTTACAAGATTTTGATTTTGATAAATTTTATAAAGAATTTATTGATTCAAATAATGATGGATGTTTGGTCACTGCTTATGCTGTCGATGATGAGTCAACAAAAAAATTTGGTATCCTAACGCTTGAAAATTATAAATATAATAATAAAAAAGACGGTGGTGGTGGTGAAGAAGAAGAAAGATTCATCGTAACAAAATTTTTAGAAAAACCTGGACCAACGCTGACTTCATCACGTTATGCATGTCCTTGTTTCTACTTTCTCAAACAAGAATCACTCCACTTGATAACTGAATTTCTCAAGTTTATAGACAATAATCCCAATTCGACCATCAATGATAAGGATGCCACGGGAAAATTGTTAGCTTGGATTATCAATAATAATAAGTTCAAAATTTATGCCAAGAAAATTGAAGGAAGAATTGATGTGGGTGGTTTACAAAGTTATATTGATGCAAAAAAATATTTTGGAGATTTAGGTTAATAATATAATGATGGAGATGATGTACAAGAGAGATTGAATGACAATCAAAGATTTTAAACTTTAATTATTTATTAAATTAAAAATGCAAATATCTTTCATGTATTATCTATTTGTTAATTAGGCAATGAAAATATTTAATGCTGTTTTGATCAATATATTTGGCAATTCCTAAATGTATATAAATGAAAAAAAATCAATTAAAAAAATCAGTTTACCAAATTTGTATTGTGTGACACAATCCCGCACGTGGCATGAACATTCTTGATTAATGTGAGTGTATGTATATTAATATAGGCAAGAGTGTAAATAAACACTCAATTATCTGAAATAAGAATCGATCAATTTGATTTAGTATCGCCGAAAGAACCATGCCACTTTTTATATATCAGAATATTATAATAATTTCCTTTTTGCGAAGAAAAAACAACAAAGAAAAAACTTGAATTTTGTTAAATAAAATCACACGACATAAATTAGTCACTGCAAGTTACTGTGCCACTAATCCAGAAACGCCATGTGAAGTCACATGATATTCCAGGGAACGGAAATGATGCAATTCCTCTTACTATTGCGTATTATTATTATATACATAAACTTTTAGATCCTATGGATTGGAAGGTTTGATAATTATTAAGAATTTACAATATCGCGTGATGTGAAAATTTTAGGATTGCCTATATATCACTATACCAAAAAATAACAATGTGACATATCAAGAGTTTCGGAAGGCAACTAACTCAAATAATACATATGAAGTAAAAAGTTGCATAATTTTTCATATATATATATGGATGATATGATGAGTTAGATGCGAGAGAATAAACTATTAAAGTTAGTTATTTCACTATTTTTTATTATTATAAGAAAAGCATGTATATCTCTCGCTCTTTCACTAAAAAAAATGGCAGGAAAAGATACACACCTATTGGTAAAACGTCACCATGACATTTACACTTATTTTACTATCTGATAATATTTAAAAGTATTAGGATCACACTCATGGAGATGCGTAAAAGGTACAAATTACATACAGAGTTTATAACATTAATTCTTCCAGGACTTTTCATTATATTGATATGGATACTTTATTTTTTATTTTTAGTGTAATGTATTATTTTTAAGCATTTATTTATTTCATGGGATTCTTATTAAAAGAATAGTTTCCCACTTACTACAGTTCACTCTCTATATGTAATTTTTTCTGTTTTTGAGAGTGTTTGCTAAGATGTTCGTTATAGAGAAAAAAATGAATCGGGGGCAAAAGTGAAGTTCATTATAGAGATATTTTACTTACAGAGGGGTTCGTTATAGAGGAGTGAACTGTATATACAAATGCATAATTCACATGCATAAATATTAAATGCGGAGAAAAGGTATTATATTAATATGTGAGATCACAAATTTAGTAAATAAATTCAAATATATTTCTTTGTACATCATGCAAAAAAGAAAAACATAAAACTTATAATTAAATCTTTAATTTTAGAAAATCTTCTACTAGTACTAGGTGATAATTACAAATGTCGATCAAAATAGAATTTCCATTGTGCTTATTAATTAATGATGCTTTTCTTAATTTATAACTTGAAACAGATTAAAAAAAAAAAATAATTTGCAGATCAGTTAAATAATTGGTCAACACCTTTGAACGATCTGCAAAGTTATTTAACTAATTAAATCAATCCCAATATAAAAGGGCTTTATATATTACACATGTCATTACTTTTTGTTGCAAAAAATCAAATTCTTAATAAATTTCTATGTAAAAAATTTTCTCCTGTAAAAATAAAATCAATATTTTTTGATCTTAATAATCTTAATAATAATAGTAATTATTATAATTTATCATTATCCTTTACTATAACAAAGTTTCAAAGGAACGACATGCATTCTAAAGCAGTTATCATTGGTTCAGGTCCAGCTGGTCATACAGCTGCACTTTATTTATCTAGAGCTACTATTGAACCAGTATTATTTGAAGGTTTTTTAGCAAATGGATTTGCTCCAGGTGGTCAAGTAAGTTCTCAAATAAATAAGTAAAATAAGTGCGTCATCAAAATAGATGAATAATCTAATCGATTAATCTTCTTCGTATAGCTTACTACTACCACTGATGTAGAAAATTATCCAGGATTTCCAGATGGAATCTTAGGACCTGAATTGATGGCATCATTCCGTGCACAAAGTATAAAATTTGGTACAAAAATTTATACAGAAACGATTACAAAACTTGATCTGTCGTCACGTCCATTCAAGTATTGGCGTGAAGGAAGAGAAAACGAGGAATCTGATACAGCTGATTCACTTATTATTGCAACTGGTGCTGCTGCTAAAAGATTAAATTTACCAGGTGAAGATATATATTGGCAAAAGGGAATCTCTGCTTGTGCTGTTTGTGATGGTATGTAATATATATATAATCATAAGTGTGTTGGTTTGCTTAATTTTTTTAATTTAATTTGTTTTTATTATATTAATTTTTTTAAAAAAGGTGCAGTACCAATTTTTCGTGATAATCCACTTGCAGTAGTTGGCGGAGGAGATTCAGCAGCAGAAGAAGCGATGTTTCTTACTAAATATGCATCACATGTATATGTCCTTGTTCGTAGAGATAAACTTCGTGCATCAAAAGTAATGGCTAACAGATTAATGTCAAATCAAAAGGTTACCATCCTTTGGAATACTATTCCAATAGAGTGCAAAGGAAATGGTAAATTGCTCAAATCTTTGATGACAAAAGACACAAAAACTGGCCTAGAAAAAGAATTAGCAGTTAATGGATTATTTTATGCAATTGGTCATGCTCCAGCTACAGAATTGGTTAGAGGTCAATTGGATTTGGATGAAGATGGCTATGTTATTACTAAACCTAATAGTACCTATACAAGTGTAGAAGGAGTTTTTGCTGCAGGTGATGTACAAGATAAGAGGTATAGACAGGCCATTACTAGTGCAGGAACTGGATGTATGGCGGCGCTAGATTGTGAACGTTGGTTAAGTGAAAATTTTGATTAATTTAAATTATAATCAATATGTATGTATATGTAGTAGATGCATGTATATATTTTTATTTATTTGTTTATTTAATAATTAAAACATGACAAATTTCTTTAAAATTTGAAATTGCTTGCATAGACATTAAATTTTTTTTTTTGAAAATAAATTTATTTTCATCTTGATAAAAATATATCTCTCAAGTTTTAATTTTTTAACTCGAAAAAAAGTCATGTCCGTGTCATTTATTCATCGTGTAATATTACGAGGAATCTTGCGGTTTAATAGTGTTAAATAATTCCCTCGGAAATCATACTGCCGTTTCTAAATCTTTTCAAAGGATCTCTGTCTTTTTTTTCTTTTTAAAGTAAAAAAACCTACTTTTTTATTATCTAAAAAGATAAAAACACCTTTCATTATCTAAAAAGAATATAAAAGCACTTCGTGATTTTTTTTAGGATAAATTCAGTGTAACCATGACGACAACACAAATAATAATAATAAATAATAGTGCCTGTTTTATTTTGAAACATTTTTTAAAATATTTTTATAAAATTTATCAACATGGCTTCCATATTGAAATCCTTTTTGGATTGGCTTAGAGGTTTATTCTTCAAGGTATAATATATCTAAAAAGAAAAAGTGGGTGTGGAAAGAAGGAGAAGAAAGTGGGAGAAGGCGATCAAATTCCTTTTTCTTATAATTATGAAAAATTTTTATTTTTGTTTTATTTTTTAGACAGAACTCGAGTTAACCTTGGTTGGCTTACAAAATAGCGGCAAAACTACTTTGGTTAATGTAATTGCTGTAAGTTGCATTTCTCGCTATAAAAAAGATTTACACTTGGTAATGATAATGATAATGATAATAATAATAAAATATTATTATTAATTAGGCAGGAAGATTTAGCGAGGATATGATACCAACAGTAGGATTTAATATGCGTAAAGTAACAAAAGGGAATGTTACTATGAAATTGTGGGATATAGGGGGACAACCGAGATTTAGAAGTATGTGGGAAAGATATTGTAGAGGTGTCAATGCTATTGTGTAAGTAAAATAATAATATATTATTTATTACTAGTGTATAAACATAAATATAAATATAAATGTATTTTTTGAAACTCTTTTTAGATTTGTAGTAGACTCTGCAGACCATGAAAAATTAGAAGCTGCAAGAACTGAATTACGCAGTCTTTTGGACAAACCTCAACTTGCAAACATTCCAGTTTTAGTATTAGGAAATAAAAATGATTTACCAAATGCTTTACCTGTCGAAAAGCTTATTGAAGAAATGTAAATACATGAAATTTTTATATTTTCTTCATAATATCAATTTTAATAATAATATTATTTATCAAATATTTTAGGGGTTTGAAGTCTATTAATAATCGGGAGGTTTCTTGTTATTCTATTTCTGCAAAAAATCAAATAAACATTGATATCACTCTTCAATGGTTGATCAAAAAAGGAAAAGGTTCAAAATGAATCAGCAATTTTTAATAAGTAATGAAATATTTAAAAGGTACTCATCGATCATCATTCATCATCATCATAATCATCATAATCATTATAATCATAATCATCATAATCATTTATCATCACCACCATTATTAATAATAATCATCTTTACTACACCACCTAAACTATATATTATTATTGTTACTTCTCTTGCTTCCTCACACTGTCTTCTTCATTTGATTGACAGGTTTTCGTGATTTATAAGATATTATATATATATAAAAGATTAATTACAAAATATATATACATTTTTTTTTTAATACGCCATATTATTACTCATTTTATCATTAATTAATTTGGCTTTTTTCATTAGACAAAACAATAAACATTGATATATTTACATATATTTATATTTACATATTATTATACTTATATGAATAAATAAATAAATAAAAAGGTGTTTTAGTAAATGTAAAGAAATCATATTTGTTATATCTACGCATGATCGGCATCTAGAAATTGAAGTTTTCAAATAATAAATGGGGGTCAAAGGTCTTTGGAGTCTGTTAGCACCTATAGGGAGACCAGTAAGATTCGAGTCTTTAAGTAATAAAAGACTTGCGATCGATATCCTTTTTTAAAAAAAATGTCATATAATTGTAGAAAATTCATGTCATTTGTCATTTTACACACCAATATGTTGTTCTCAAGATTGTTTATATAATAACACATGCTAGCATATGGTTACATCAATTTTTAAAAGCAATGCGCGATAAGGAAGGCAATGCTCTTAGAAGTGCACATATATTAGGTTTTTTTAGAAGGATATGTAAATTACTTTTTTTTAACATCAAACCTGTCTTTGTGTTTGATGGTGGAGCCCCAGAAATAAAACGCCATACTTTAGTTAGTAGTAGTAATAGTAATCTTTATATAAGGAATGACTTTGCTATATAGATAGATTGAGAAATGAATAAATTTGTTTGTTATTTAAATTTAGATGGAACGTAGGAAAAGACGAGTGGGAATTGAAAATGATTTACAAAAAACAGCACAAAAGATTTTAGCTGCTCAAATACGAATCCATGCTATTGAAGAGGCTGGAACTTCAAAGTATGAATAATATGTGTATGTGTTAATTTATAATGATATATGTAAAAATTAAAACCTATACATACAATAATTTTAATATAAATAAAAGATCAAAGGCTAACAAAAAAAAGAATCAGTCATTAATAACCGATGATATGAATGATGAATTGAGATTAAGTGCTGAGGATATATTTAAACATGGAAAAAAAGATGAATACGACTTGCCACCTATAACTGGTGGAATAGAGTGAGTTTTTTTATCGATAATTAATTATTCAATGATAAAATATATATAAATCTTTCTTAGGACCATGATTGCGAAAGATGATCCAAGATTTACAACTAATGAAGATCTGAATAACTTTATTGAAGAATTTAAGGTACATTTTTTACATGTGTTTGTTTGTATATACACGTATACATATCAGTTATAAATATGAATCAAATATCAATATTTTTATAATGTTTTCATTCATCTGATAATATATGATATTAGACAGACGGAATCGATATAGATTCTGAATTATTTCGATCTCTTTCAACGGAAACTCAATATGAAATAATTGGAGAACTTCGATTAAAGAGTCGTCAACTATCTTGGGATAAAATTCAAGAAATAACATACAATACTACAATATCCTACTTAATTGATATTTATAAATTTTTATTATTATTTAAAATCTTTTTTTTTAAAAAATTGATTCATTAACAATTTGAAATTATACACTGCATTGGATTTTTCAAAGTTACAGATAAAACATCTTGTTAAAAGAAATGATTTAACGCAAAAATTGTTAAAGGTTACAAATCATACTTTTAACATTGATGAAGGGTTGGAAGCAAATTCTGTTCGAATTGCATCTGAAAGAAATAAGAAATATGTTTTAATCAAGAACGATGACGATAGTATGGGGTGGAGAATGGGTTCTGTTAATAATAATAATAAGGACAACAAAGATTATAACCAAAATAAATCTTTGGGTACACTAGAAAAACCGGTTAAATTGGATGAAAATTCTTCAGAATCTGATTACGAAGAAGTTATACATTCAAATAATAAAAAACCAAATGAAGATGGAGATTATTGGGAAGAGTTTGTGATAAATGAGTAATTCATAATATATTTAACTTAATAACAATAATAATAATATAATAATAATAATTAACCGTTTTAATAATAATAATTTATGTCTTTAAAAGTTCATCATTAAAAGCTGATGTAGGCCAAGATAACGAAATTGCAGATTATCCTCAAAAAAGGAATTTAAAAAACGATAATAACTACAACAAGAACAATGATGATGTTATTGTTGACGATTTGATAAAAGATGTTGATTCATTCTATGCCATGTGGTTATCCTGCATGTCAAATGAATTTCAACAACAATTCGATGATCACAATGATTTAATTTATAAAGCTATATATGAATGGAATGAATCAGATTTAAAAGATCAATTAAATACTATTTCAAAAAAATTGGGCAAGACGAAAGAAGGTGATGGTAACGAAAAGGTTAAGGCTATGGAATTTTGGCAAGACTTTTTGACAAATACTATTAAATTTCGCAATAACAAATTAAAAGAAGATTCACCATTGAACCAAGATTATGATGATGACGATGGTGATAAAACTTATAAAATTATCCAAGATGTTGATGATTATCAAACAGCTTTAAAAGTTAAAAAAAGTATTGATGATTCGTTTGAACTTGATTCTTCAGATTTTGTTGCAAAAAGAGAATCACCATCAAAGCCTTCACCAAAAGATGAGCTGGAAATTACTGATAATGATATTGTGGAATCAATAAAATTTTCAGGTAATAAATGAATGAATCAATCGATTTTTTGTGAAAATTTGTGATATATTTATACATTGAAAAATAACAATGGTGATAACAAACATTTTTATTAGACCCAGTAATTAATAATAATCAACAAAGTATAAACAATGAAATGTTAGGTTCTGATGAAGATGACGAGCATTATCATAAAAGTCACAATGATTACAACGATCTTAATGTCGTATATATTTCAAACGATGAGGGTTCCAATGATGTTAAAGACGATGTTAAAGACATGTCATCAAATAGGGTTGATAAAGAATTAGGCATTAAAACTTCGTTTGAAGGTGATGAAGTGTCATCAGAAATACCCGGAACTGAAGAAGTCGATTTTTCAAATCAAACAAGTGATAAAGAAGAAGAAAACGAGGATGTTGTTATTACCACAGTTATCGACTCCATTGAAGAAGACGAGGGGGGTAAAATCGTTGAAGAAAATAACGAATTTGCTAGGTTTTTATCTGAGCTTAAAGATAGAGATTTGAGTTCAATACAACAAGAGCTGTCTAAAGAAATTGAACAATTGAATGAAAAACAAAGGCGAGAAAAAAGAGATGCTGATAATATAACGCAATCGATGATAACTGAATGTCAAGTATGTAAATTAATCAATCAAAATTATTTAAAATCATTACATTGTATTGCTATTGAAAAGAAGTAATTTATTATAATTAGAAACTTTTACAATTATTTGGAATACCATTTATTGTTGCACCGATGGAAGCAGAAGCACAATGTGCAAAATTGCTAACTCTTGGACTTGTAGATGGGATTATTACAGATGATAGCGATGTATTTTTATTTGGCGGGAGTAAAGTTTATAAAAATATGTTTAATCAACAAAAATATGTGGAACGTTATGATTTGGAGGAGGTAGAACGTGAAATGCAAATCAATCGTAATAAATTGATTCAACTTTCAATACTTTTAGGCAGTGATTATACAGAAGGATTGACAGGAATAGGAATTGTTAATGCAATCGAAATCTTGAATGAATTTCCAGGCGAAGATGGATTGGAGAAATTTAGAGATTGGTGGAATGATGTACAAAGTGGAAGATATAAACTTGATAAACAAATTGATAGCGATTTCAAGAAAAAATTTGTTGGTACCGATTTTTATTGTTCTTGTTGTTGCTTGTAATATCTTTATGATTGATATAGTTAACAAAAACTTTTTTTCCAAGTGCCAAAAATTTAAAAGTCTTATATTGAACGAAAATTTTCCAAATCGTCATATATGGGACGCTTATTTACATCCTCAAGTTGATGATTCTACTGAAGAATTTCAATGGGGAATTCCTGATATAGATTTACTTCAAGAGTAAATGTTCAAGATTCAAAGATTAATGATTTTAAATAATTGGTAATTGATTAATTAACGTTTAAACTATTTTAAAAAAAAGATTTTTAGCAGAAAAACTTTTATGGAATGAAGATAAAACCGATGAGATACTTTTACCACTTATAAGAACTATGATTGAAAAGCAGGTACTAGTATTATCATCATCGTTATTGATTATTAAATTTTATATAATTATGATTTTTTTTTAAAACTTTAGTCTGAAAAAACGACAATACAATCCGCTCTTGATAATTATCATGATATTTCAATTGGGAATAATAATAGCAATAGTAGTAGTAATAGTGGTAAAAATATTTCACATAAAAGTAAAAGAATCCAAAAAGTTATAGATACTTGGAGAGACACAAAAACAAAATCATCGACACCTTCAAAGAAGAATAAAGTCGACAGGAGAAAAAATACTAGACGAAAAGTTAATGCAAATGTCTGCGAAGTAGGATCATCTGATGATGATTCAAGTTCGTGTGAATCAAATCAAGTAGTGTTGGAAAGCTGCGACACAAAAAAAAGACGCAATAATAATAATAATGATAATGATAATGATACAGGATCAAAAAAACGTGGCAGAAAAGGAGACAATAATAAAAATTATTAATTAAATTTACATTGATGTTCATCTTGGTAGTTGTTCAGATGTCCTTTATCAAATGGGAACTCATCTATATATAAAAAAAAATAAATAAAATTTTTAGTGTTCCAATCAGAAAAATTTTATTAATTATAATACATAATAACAGTACCACACTAGAAACGTCTTTGTTTAATTGTTTTTTTAGGAGCATTGTCCGGTATTTTTATCCAACTGTTTACACAATCAGTATCAATATTATTTAGAATATTATCTTTTGACATTTCTTGCTTAATATCTTGCCATTCAATAAGGAGTTTCTCCAAAAGGAATTTTGTAGTTTAATAATGAGTAAGATATTTTGTATGCATAAAGAAGAAATACCTCTAGGAAGGTTCCAACTTTGCAAGGTTGAATAGATGCCATCATTCCGAATATGAAATTGGGATTTTGCAATCGAGTACTTTGTAAACCCTATTGCTAATACGAATTATGTCTGTAAGATTCTAAAAAAGATAAAGTTGGATTAGTTAATGTCCTATATCTGTGAATCGCAACGGGTTTAAATTTTCTGCTGTAATAGTAGTTGTAAAATTGCTATTTTGTTTAAAATGATAAATTTAAATCTCAATTCCGTTATGTACCAATTTTGCAAAAATCTCTGATTCAATGTTGGCATTTGGCCGTGGCCGTTTTGGCCAACAAATAATGTGACAGTTTTATATCAAATTGAGAAAGTCTTGGCCGCTTTAGCTGGCCAAATGGACAAAAAAATGTTTGGTCACGGCCAAATGCCAACACTGCTCTAATTGGTATTTTAGCACGAATTATTTAGGTCCATATGATTGTTCATACAAAACTGTAGGAACTTCGTCTTGGTACACGATGGCATTATTTTTACTTGCACATCAGAATTTGATGGTTTTTTATTATAATCAATATTGTATTATGCGCTGCATTCATTATTTCACCACTGTGACCAGGGATCTGAAGTAATATTAATATTAAATAATATTAAAGTGAATCCGGCACAAATATATATATACAGAGCAAAATATAAAAGGAGGAAAAATACTTGCGATGCAATACCAGATATTCTTTTTCGAAAAAACTGAAGCAGTCGATAAACAGTCTGTGTCGACCAGGTCTTCTCACTGCCATTTACTTGTAAGTCACCGTAATAATAATAAAGAAGAAAATTTCTGCACGCTTCTCTAGTCCACATTAATAATTGGTTTGTAGTTTTTCTATTTTCAACAACGCATTTTCAATGTCGTCACTAAGTAGACCTTGGAGGTATTCTTTTACGTTGTGTAAGAAGTTCAAATTCATTAATTGTATTCTTGTCCATTTCATTAAATGATTCTTCTGCATCTTGCTAGGAAAGTTCTCCAACTTAACTCGCGAAAAAATTTTTTTTGCTATTTTTCATTTTCTTCCTCAACCTACATAATCGGTTTGTTCAAATTAATTTTAATCTTATGTATATTTATGACTTCATATTATTATTATCTGATTCGTCAAAACAGGATTTCTTTCCATCATTCACAGAAAATCGCTATTTTTCTTTTCGAATCTTTATTATTCGCATTCAAAATATAATATACATGAAAACACCAGATCTTGAGTTTTTGTATAAATAGCATCGCTCAAATCGTCATGGAATTCCGAGACCATAGACACCATTTTAAATTTAACGTGAGCCGATTATTCTAGAAAGTTTTAACTGCACCCAATTTAACTTCTTCCTATATGAATAAAAATATCAAAATATAAAGGAAAGCCTGATGCAGTTTAGACGCATCAAAAAGTGCAACCCGCAAGACGCATCCTATCACCTTTGGCAAAAAAAAAAAAATGAAGAGCGGTTTTACAAAGTCTAACCCGCAAGCCGCATCTGTTGGGCTTTCAGACACATCCTAGTTTTTGATCAACATACCCACTTAATGACTTAACGGTTAAATAAAAAAGTTACTTTTAAGAGATATGTACTTGGAATTTGGTCAATTCTAGAGGACTAGAATTTGGAAATAAAGATGAGGAGCATCTCGCTTATAAAATAAACCTGGAAACCATTACTTCGCGACAATGATTTAGTTAGAAGGTTAATAACAGAGGCGTTGGGAAATTTTCAGGTTAAGTAACCAAGCCTCGACATTTTAGGTATTAAGGTAGGTTTTTTAAAAAAATCAATAAGAATATTATTAACATCTCCAAATTTTTCATATATTGATATTAATATTAATGTCCTTCACGACTAATAATTTGGATTATAATAATATTAAGTAATTATTGTATATATATTTTTGGTTGCATCCTCACCAAAGTTCAAATTATTGGATTGGGAGTAATTGAACATAAATCTCTTTTTGGCCTCCCTGAGATAAGATTTGAATCGTGGACGATCCACTACTTGTGTCCATTCGAAAATCTCTACAATAATAATAATGGTACGCATTAGGCGATAAAAAAGTTTCCATTCTGTACCACTGAAATTATTTTCTGAGTAAACATTAACGAAAGTATGTTATTCTTACCAACACCAACACACAATACCATAAGATCACTTATTATATCTTATGCTTATATATTCGGCTTTCTTGTAACTGTAGAAGTATATCAAAGAAAATTCAACGTACCATTATACATTTCACGTAAAATAATTCATATTGGCGCTGGAACTTATTTGTTTTTTCTTTTGTATTTGTTTGAACAATGGGAGTATGTGGTATTTTTGAATGCTAGTTTTGTACTGCTTAACTATATATCCTATAGGATAAGGCTATTCAAATCTATGGGTGATGTTTATTATTATTATGACAATTATGATAATTATGATATAAATATTATTAAATTTTG